AAAGTTGAGTTACTGCAGAGTTGCTGAATTTTAGTTGTGCAGAAATTGAATTTTGAATTGTGCAAGTTTGAGAGTTGCAGTGAGCTAATGCAGAGTTGCAGACCTGCTGAATTTTGAGTTGTGCAAGGTTGAGCTAATGCAAAGTTGAAGATTTGCTAAATGGTTGAATGTGATGCCATTTTGAGGTAATGCAAAGTAAGTTACAGTGAGCTGATGCAGAGTTGCAGACCTGCTGAATTTTGAATGTGATGATATTTTTGAGCTAATGCAAATGATGAATTCAAAGAGTGCAAAAGGGATAAAGGAAGTTGAGTGGAGCAGCTGATCAAAGAAATTGTTAAGAAGCTGGCAAAAGAAGTAACGAGAGTTGAGTTTAAGGGGGAATGTTGACCAAAGATGTTTTTATCATAGGACCAGAGTATTAAGTTCACAAGTTGTTGTACTGTATTGTAAATAGGTGAAAACGGTGGTGTTTCAAGTCTTGTGTATAAGTTTCTAAGTGGTTGTAAAAAACTTATTCAATCAATGAAATTCATACTCGATTTCTCATATTTTTCTCTCTTGAAATTTCTGGGTTTAGTTTGAACTTTTGTCAGAAGAGACATAAATTTTGTGAAAAATAGAGTAATTTGTCAAGTGTGTAATAAGTCTGGGCATACTGCTATCAATTGTTGTCACAGGTTCAATCTATCTTATCAAGGAGCTCAAATCAAGGTGCTAGCAATGGTGTTTCACAGTTCAAAGGAGCAGAACAGGCCATGATGGTTCAGAATACCACAAATTTTAAGGGAAATATAGCAAATACAGTTGGCCAAGGAGATTCTGATCTGACTCAATCAAATCATATTGCTGGACAGTGTTATTTTGCTCAGCGGACTACTGTTTCTGATCCATCATTTAGTATCCACAACATACCTGAAGTTTGCAAGAACTTGATGGAGAGTCTGCAGGAGAGCTTCCGAAACCGAAACTTCTACGGACTGGCTTAGCTAAAAACGTAGCAATTAGGACACTTGCTATGTTTTTCGCAACATGCAGTTTCAACATTTTCTACAACAAATATATGTACGATGCATCGTTTCATCACCACAAGAAATCAAGAGAAACTCTACATAATAAAGTGGAATTGAATCATTTCTTGATTTTAGTTTTAACACATGATTACTCTTCCAATATCTTAGAAAAATTTCAGGTGATAATGTCATGAAATTTATAAACTCCAGATTATATTTGCTCACACAGAAAAAGTACTAAAAGACAATTTCTATACAGTATATATAAATTACAAATATGATTTCTTCTACATGTAGATAGATGAATGACTTACACTACCTAACTTTGAACTGTTTTTTAGGTACTATTTCACGCATAAAAACAATGAGCTTGGCTGTATTTAAAAGGGCATTCACAACATACCTGAAGTTTGCAAGAACCTGATGGAGAGTATGCCAGAGCTTCCGAAATACCTTATTTCTTGAAAAGAGATAACAGAGATGTTTTTTTATAAAAATAGACAGAGTAGAATGAAAAACTAATGGATTAGATTGTTAATGTTCCGCAAGAAAGCTTTGAATCATATTCTCGTGGTAAAAACATGGGAACATTACTTTTCTTCTTACATTAAATAGAGAACAGTGAAATTAAAAATTTTTAAAAACAGAAGGGGTAGCACAAAGCAAACAACCTTTCGTCAACCACTCCAGAGAGATTTAGTTCCACCGACTTTTGGAAGCAAAATTATGTTTTTCATGTCCCTAGCAAGTCAAAATTCTCATGCTAAGAAAAACATTAGCAAGTGCTGTTTGAAGAATATCCGAAGAAAAAGAGTAAAAATTGGAATATTATGCAATTTCCTTACATATTTATCTGTTGATTTGTAAAGTCGCGCTTTTAGCATCATTGTATGAATCCCTGCAAGATATAACAGTTTACAGAACTAATATTCTGTGAAGTATTTCCTTCATTAATATGACCAAAAACAATACATTTCAAACACTTGAAAGATAGATGATACACATGTATCTTCCAAAATTTTGTTGAGACAAAAAACAAAACAAAATCTTACCAACGTTGCAGGACCACACTGTGATAGTAGAACACCTGTAAAGTTACCTCTTCACAAAAATCATGATAACTTGACAAGCAATGTAACTGGGCGATTGTCTTCACACTGACAATGAGTGTCATGACATCAGAAGATTATAAACCAATTGTGCATAAACAATGTGATGATGCAACATCAGAACTTAGTGTAGCCACAGAGAATTCATAAGTTCACAAAAATATTTACAAAAGCAAATAAATTCTAAGTTAAAACAAGGAATAGAAGTAATCGGTGGAATTTTTAATACACTACTTAAGTATCCATAATTGGTAAGTTCGTTNAAACACTTGAAAGATAGATGATACACATGTATCTTCCAAAATTTTGTTGAGACAAAAAACAAAACAAAATCTTACCAACGTTGCAGGACCACACTGTGATAGTAGAACACCTGTAAAGTTACCTCTTCACAAAAATCATGATAACTTGACAAGCAAGTTAAAAACGCCACCTATACAAAAAGAAATGTAACTGGGCAATTGTCTTCACACTGACAATGAGTGTCATGACATCAGAAGACTATAAACCAATTGTGCATAAACAATGTGATGATGCAACATCAGAACTTAGTGTAGCCACAGAGAATTCATAAGTTCACAAAAATATTTACAAAAGCAAATAAATTCTAAGTTAAAACAAGGAAAAAAAATTAGATAGCAATGCAAAATTTCAAGAATTTACATGGAATAGAAGTAATCGGTGGATTTTTTAATACACTACTTAAGTATCCATAATTGGTAAGTTGGCTGAGAGTGGAAAATTCGGGCAAGTTTACTCGTATCTCGACTAATCTAGATTACTGCTTAAATCTTCTTGGGAGTCAGAGGGATTTGAACCTAAGATCGTGCGTCTTAACCATATATGCCAGCACTTGTCCTACCACTTGAACTACCCAATGGTGGGTTAATCCATGTAACCCCTTCTTTATACAAATTCAAACTATATATTTCTAATTCTTAAATATATTCATCTCATTAAGTATTAACACAAAATCTAGTAATTTTAAGAAATAAGTACCAGAAATTTCTAGTAATAAGAAATTGACAACACAAATATTTTCTACAGTGATATTAGAAATGCTTGATAAAAAGAAAAAGACCCTTCATTCATTTTAAACTTTTAATTAATGGTGCCTTCATCGTTTGAAGGGGCATATATAACCCTAATATGATTAATTTAATTATGAAATATATTAAACAACTTTGTATTATAATAGTTATGTCAACTCATTTTCTGTCAACCTTAACCAGCAAACTTCTTATCATACTATCAAATCGTCTCATAAATTGTCACCTCTAAATTGTCATAAATTGTCCCATTGAGCACATTTCCTTGTTTTTTTTTTAAATTACAGAAGAAAGAAGATAGGGACATAATGATTTTCTGGTTCACTGTTTGCAGCAACACATGCAAAGATTAAAAGAGAGAGACACTCACCAAGTGCAGTTTGAAGAATAACATAGAGATTACCGAAGAAAAATAAAAGAATATAGAGTAAAAATTGGAATATTATGAAATTTCCTTACATATTTATCTTTTGATTTGTAAACATCGCACTTTTAGCATTATTGTATGAATCCCTGCAAGATATAACAGTTTACAGAAATAATATTCTGCAAAGTGTTTCCTTCCTTAATTAATATGACCAAAAACAAAACATTTCAAACACTTTGAAAGATAGATGATACACAGGTATCTTAATTATAAAGAAGATATCTATAGCATGCCCATTGTTGTTTCAATGGTTAAGTACGTAGGAACAATATGCAAACAATTGTCCATGAAATTTAAGGTTGATTTATATATATATTGACTATTATTTTGCAGGATATTTCATTCCATAATTTTGCAATCAAAGGACCAGGGCATAAGCATATGTAAGGAAATAGAACCAATCTCTTCTTTTCCTTTTCTTCAAAATTCCTTTTGCATTTCAAATATCACTTACCAAATATATATATTGAAAAATTGAATGGTTCAAGTTAAAAAAATAAAACTCAAGGGTGAACCATCCATTATTCCTGGTACCATAAAGGAAAAAGAAAGTCTAAGAAGATATGCTTCTGGACTTATAATGCTAAGCACGAAGAGCATATGTCCATTATTTTTTACCCTTCCAGTAACATTAGAGGGAGGATATCAACCCTTGGATTATGGTCCAAGTGTACTACTCCTCCAGTGATGTTACAACTGGCATAAGGAAGTATTGCCCTTTGACGTAGCAAGTTAGCATAACACCAAGGCTAGTACTCAATTATACCTTTAGAATTGATAAACAAGTCTCAATCACAGAAACTTAAGTCTTAAAGCCTAAAATAATATCTGAATAATTATTGAATAATATCCAAAAATGAATAATAGGTTTATATAAGGTGACAACCAATCCTAATAAGACTCCTAATAAACAAGGAAATAATATCAAAATTAATTAAAAAAAGAAAAGCCTAAATAAAATATGAGAAAACGCGTAGAAAACTAAAATGGCCTCGAAACATGCCAGAACGGTAGATTTTGGGCCCGAAAACGTATCCCACCCGAGGGACTAGGTTGTCACATCGTAAGGCTCGAAACAAGCTTTACATTGATATATTATAGGCTTGTAACTCTTCCTGAATCAAAAGTTATGACTGTTTAAAGTTGGTAGACCCCATTTGAGCTTCTGACACTCAATCCTATCCAGAAATTCATCTGCTAGACGTTATACGTCACCCTTGTCACAACTATTACTGATGGAGAATCCGAAGTTAAGCGCAGAGAGGGAATGGAAGGCAAGGAGAGACACATAGGGACTGAGAGATTAGGATTTGAGTAAGAAAAGAAAAAACTTCAAATCAAAATAACAACTTGGTTTTTATTGAGCAAAAGCAACATAACACAGAATTTAAATATGCATAAATAAAACAACAAATAAACATCACAACCGTAAAACATGTCCAAACAGAGCACATTTGACAATAATAGGATCCAATTATTTCACAGAAAGACTTCAGGGAACTGGTGCTCTTCCTTTTGTCTCGCCATTACAGCTTCCTCAGTATTTATTTTTCCTCCACACTGCCGGCTTGTCAACGGAACATGGAAAATTTTTCAAATTGAAACACCGGCTGACCTCCACATAACGCAACTGAGGCATATTCAGCTCCAAGTTCTTCCAGTCTTCCTTCAAGTTGGGCAAGAACTTCAAACATAAACCTTCAATGTTCCAGGCGGAGTAACTGCCAACCTCAAATTCAGGATTCATTTTGATGTTGGCAAGGTCTCCATTCTCTATACAAAGATATTGCAAAGTGGAAAGCTGTTCAGGATTAAACCATTCTGGCATGACTTCATGTCTGTAACGCCGAAGATACAGCTCCTGAAGCCTTGGAGAAGGGGAAAGTCGATCTAGCATCTCGAAGATTTTCTTGTCTTTACAATCTTCTGCGTCAATTGAAAAAACTAGAAGATTCTTGAGATGTGAAAGGACTTCATATTCATTTTCGGAGATCTCACTCTCACTATTTACATTTATACGCAGAACTCTCAGCTGAACCAGTTTCTCAAGTTCAAGAAGTTTACAGCTTTGCGTATTAGCCTGACTAGCCAACCTGAATCCGGAAAGTTCACGGAGATTAGAGAGCCTCTCTAGTCCCCGAGGTAGGAACTGGTGGCGACAAGATCCTAAGTCCAAGACAACCAGCCTCTTCAAATTAGTAATTGATTGGTGCACTCTGATTAAATTATTGCATTCTGTTAAAACTAAAAGCTGGAGATTGCGGAGTTTTTGAATAGAAGATGGCACTTCCTTCAGGCCTGCGACTCCACTTAAGTTCAAATATCCTAGGCGCTTGAGGGAACTGATCCAACCCCAGAGCTTCTCTACTTCAACTGTATCTAGCTTGTTGTATGAAAAATCCAGCGCCCTTAGTGACTTGAGAAACTCCAAATTCCTATTGAGAGGGACTTGATTGCTTGATACAAGTAACAATGCCCTGAGCTTTGAATTTTTTTTCCATAATTTAGGGTCCATGTCACTGGAAAAACCCAACCACCGGGAATCTACTGTGAACATCTGCTTGCCTTTTCCATCAAAGCTGCAAAATGCCTCATCTTCTGCAACCTTAATGGTCATATCACGGACCAGATCATGCATCTTGCAACTGTAGACCGTCCCATCATATCCACGTCGTTGTACAACATCTACCAGGCATCTGCTTACAAGTTCAGACAGATATTCAAAGCCCAATTCGGTTGCAGTCTTTGTGTTCTTGTCGTGGACAAGACCCTCGCCAACCCACCAACGGACTAATTGATCCGCCCGTACGTCAAAGTCTTCAGGATAAATGGAGAAACACAAGAGACACAGCTTCAGATGACTAGGGAGTTGATCATAGCTTAGTTGCAGAGAAGCTGTAACAGAAGTAATAGAACTATAATTTTCTCTCGTCAATTCATGAAAATTTTCATTAATTTTTTTCCACTCACCCACGGAATGGATTTTCGATGCTAGTAAGGCTGCTATTGTCTTGATTGCCAATGGAAGTCCTGCACACTTACTCACAATATCTCTGCCCACTTTTTCAAACTCGGAATTTGGACAGTCTCCCTTGCTTGCAGAAAAAGCAAACAACCTGAATAGTGACCAGCTTTCATTTTCATTTAGAACTTTGGGACGATGAATTTTTGAATTCTGCACCCCCATACTGGCTGCCACCTCTTCATTTCTAGTTGTGATTATGATGCAACTTCTTCTATCTGTCGATTTGGGTGGAGCGGAAAATAACTTTTTCCACCAATCTAGATTCATGCTCCAGACATCATCCATAACGATGAGACAGGTCTGATCTTTAAGTACACGGTGAATTTTGCTCAACATCTGACCCTTATCAGATCCAGAGCTATCCTGGCCAAATTGCTCCAACATGCTCCTCATGATACTTTCCTCATTAAAATTTTGAGAAACCGACACCCAAATCTTCTTCTCAAACTGAATAGATACCTCTATGTCATTGAAAATTTTCTGAGCAATGGTTGTTTTGCCTAAACCTCCCATCCCGACTATACCAACTCGGTGAAGCTCCTCATCATTGCTAGAGATCCACCCTTTTATCTCTTCTATATCATTCTCCAATCCGATTATCTCAGATGGATCAAATTCTTGTGAGGTAAATCCTGAAACTTGGTATGTAACATCACCTTGGATGCTTGGATATTGAGGCGTCAAATAGGCTCTCAATATTTCCTCTGCTTTCTTCAATCTTGAGTTAATATCTTTCAACTTCTGGCCTGTTTCAATCTTGAAGACCAATTCTTGAGGAGAGTATTTGGCGCAGAATCCATCTTGACGATATTTATCTCTAAGCAGGCAGTCTGTCATTATGTTATCAGCTTCATAGAAAAGATCTCTTATTTTAACCAAAGTCGTCTTGAGAGTCTCAGTCTTACTCTTGAGATTTTCTGTGTCACTTAGGAAAGCCTTCATAATCTCAATCTGTGTCTTCATTGAGTCCAACTCACTTCTGAAATCAAGTGCAAATTTTGTTTCTTCCACAAGAGCTGAGAACACTTGATCTCCCAATTTTTCAATCAAATATTCCACTATATAACTCATCTCTTTGTTTGTTCCTTACCTATGAAATTCATATTTAAGACTTGTTATCTTGCTCAACATTTCATATAAAATAAAATTCACCATTGAAAATTAAAAAAATTGTAAGAGTTTCGATGTTTCAATTCATACCAGCAAAGAAACTTATAACAAGAATCATAACAGGGCTTCGATCAGAAGCACTTACCAGAATGCTGAAAATTTTATGACTTGGTTGAACCAGCTGAAAAAACCTGAAACAGAGTAATCAACCTGAGAAATCATAAATATTCAAATGGTTTCAACCATCACATGATAGACTTGAAAGAATCGATTCTCCAACCTGAGCGAAGCTGTTGGCTGAAGTTTTCCAAGAGCAGCTTTGCAACTTATTCTCTTGGTGATGAAATTAAACAAGCAGAAAACTCTAGAATTTTGCTTTTCTAATCAAACCGAGGAGGTTATTACTTACTACACGACTAAAAGAAATAGAGAACAAAGTACTGATACAGAACTGAAAGGAGGCAAAGAACCTCATGTTAGTGGGGAATAGACTCGGAGATTACTTTTTAAACTTTTTATCTCTTTCAGTGGAATGTGTACCAGTGTCTTTCCATTCCAATGGTTCTGCACAAACCAGAATTTATTCTAGTTCAAAGAACTTTTATGATATATGACGTATACTTGCTGAGAAATCAGAAATATTCAAATGGTTTCAACCATCACGTGATAGGCTTGAAAGAATCGATTCTCCAACCTGAGCGAAGCTGTTGGCTGGAGTTTTCCAAGAGCAGCTTTGCAACTTAATCTCTTGGTGATGAAATTGAAGAAGCACAAAACTATAGAATTTCGCTTTTCTAATCAAACCGAGGAGGTTACTACGTACTACACAATTAAAAGAAACAGAGAACAAAGTGTTGAGACAGTCTTGGGGATCCCACATTGACTAGGCACGCTCAAGCCATTTAGTTTATAAGAAGAGTCAATCCTCCCATTTAATAAGGTCTTTTGAGTGAGGAGTTAGGCCTAAAAACCAACAAATGGTATCAGAGCCAGCCCAGATAAGTTGAGTGATTGACCAACGGTGGCCTGCCAAACTACCTAATCTATTCATAGGCATGACCCATCATATGGTTTATAAGAAGGAGCAATCCTCTCATTCAATAAGGTCTTTTGGATGAGGCGTTAAGCCCAAAAACCAACAAACAGAACTAAAAGGAGGCAAAGAACCTCATGCTAGTGGGGAATAGACTCAGAGATTACTTTTTAAACTTTCATCTCTTTCAGTGGAATGTGCACCAGTGTCTTTCCATTCCAATGGTTCTGCACAAACCAGAATTTATTCTAGCTTAAAGAACTTTTATGATATATGACATATCACTTGCTGAGAAATCAAAAATATTCAAATGGTTTCAACCATCACATGATATTCTCCAACCTGAGCGAAGCTGTTGGTTGGAGTTTTCCAAGAGCAGCTTTGCAACTTATTCTCTTGGTGATGAAATTGAAGACGCACAAAACTATAGAATTTTGCTTTTCTAATCAAACCGAGGAGGTCACTACTTACTACACAATTAAAAGAAATAAAAGACAAAGTGTTGAGACAGTGTTGGAAATCCCACATTGACTAGGCACACTTAAGTCATTTAGTTTATAAGAATGAGCAATCATCCCTTTCAATAAGGCCTTTTAGGCGAAGAGTTAGGCCCAAAAACCAACAAGTGGTATCAGAGCTAGCCCAGATGAGCTAAGTGATTGACCAACGGTGGACTGCCAAACTACCTGATCTATTCATAGGCATGACCTGCCATATGGGCTTGACCGTGAGGGGAGTGCTTAAGCCATATGGTTTATAAAAAGGGGCAATCCTCCCATTCAATATGGCCTTTTGGGTGAGGTGTTAAGCCCAAAAGCCAACAGACAGAACTAAAAGGAGGCAAAGAACCTCATGCTAATGGGGAATAGACTCGAAGATTACTTTTTAAACTTTTATCTTTCCATTCCAATGGTTCTGAACAAACCAGAATTTATTCTATTTTAAAAAACTTTTCTGATATTTGATGTATCACTTGTTGAGAAATCAGAAATATTCAAATGGTTTCAACCGTCACATGATATACTTGAAAGAATCGATTCTCCAACCTGAGTGAAGCTGTTGACTGAAGTTTTCCAAGTGCAACTTTGCAACTTATTCTCTTGGTGATGAAATTGAATAAGCACAAAACTATAGAATTTTTCTTTTCTAATCTAACTGAGGAGGTTACTACTTACTACACAATTAAAAGAAACAGAGAACAAAGTGTTGAGTGTTGGAGATCCCACATTGACTAGGCATGCTCAAGCCTTTTAGTTTATAAGAAGAGGCAATCCACCCATTTAATAAGGTCTTTTGGGTGAGGAGTTAGGCCCAAAAACCAACAAGTGGTATCAGAGCCAGCCCAAATGAGCTGAGTGATTGACCAGCGGTGGGCTACCAAACTACCTCTATTCATAAGCATGACCCGCCATATGGGCTTGACCGTGAGGGGGAGTGCTTAACCCATATAGTTTATAAGAAGGGGTACTCCTCTCATTCAATAAGACCTTTCGAGTAAGGTGTTAAGCCCAAAAACCAATAGACAGAACTAAAAGGAGGTAAAGAACCTCATGCTAGTGGGGAATAGATTCTGAGATTACTTTTTAAACTTTTATCTCTTTCAATGGAATGTGTACCAGTGTCTTTCCATTCCAATGGTTCTGCACAAACCATAATTTATTCTAGTTTAAAGAACTTTTATGATATATGATGTATCACTTGTTTTTCTTTGGTCGTTCAAATTTGCTAAAGACAATTTCTAGATATAATTTCACATGGGAAGAGATTAGCTCAAAGTAGGCATCGGAGAGCTCCCTTTCTCTAACACAAACTTGAATTCATAATTTCTAACAGCTCATCCAACATCACTAACTAAAGGTGTTCAAAAAAAACCGATTGGAACTGGAACTAGAACCGATGGATACCCAGGGTTTGGTTTCAATTTCAACCCGAAACCGGCCCTCAATGGGTAGGTTCCGGTTCCAAATTTTTGGAACCGTCATTGTGCAGTTCTGGTTCTGGTTCCTACAGTCAGGAACCGGAACCAAAACTGGGAACCAAGATTAATATGAAATAAAATTAAAGAGTAAGGGGGTTAGTAAAAACTTTTGTAGAAAAAGTAATGTGAATACATTTATATTTATATTTCATAACATTTAAAGTAAGTTGGTTTGACTTTTGAGACTCTACCTTTACAAAGTGATGGAGTTTGTAATTTATAATTTTATTTTTGTTAACAAGTGCTAGGTGGGGGCATATTTGTAAATTTTTAAGGGTTTTTTTGCCATTTTAAAAACTTTTGGGGGTAATTTGAATTTTATAGTGTACCTGGAACCAGAACCAGAACTATTGTTACAAGTTCTGGTTCTGAGTACCCAAGAACCAGAACTGTTTCCGGTTCCAGTTCCAAATTTCAAGGAACCATCGGTTCCTGTTCCTTAAAAAAATGTAAGGTACCCAGAACTGAATACCCCTGTCACTGACACAAAAGAAAAGCCTAAGCCTCTTTGCTGACATTTGTGGTACCCACTTTTAAGTCATATTCCAACAGTTTTGATGATGGTTTGATTATCAGAAATCTAATTTGTGTGGCCGGCCAAAGGCCCAAAAGATGATACATTGAGATGTAGCTGTAACATGGATAAACAAAGGGAAGAGACAATCTTGATATCCATAATATTTGCCACTACATGAAGAAACTAAATACACAATTTATCTTCTGATATGCATTGCATGATCTTTAATTCTCCTACGTGCTACGCTCCAATTTATCACTGTCTTATCAATAACAAGAACTGCAGTAAACTCTATACATAGTGCCTCATGGATTTTTACCGAGACTTAGCGGAGAAAATAAACAATGTTGCAGAGCCATTTGCAGCTACTGAACTTCCCCATTTGTTCCAAACACATAAACGCCTGCAATAGCAAAATCAATTCAATCTTGAAAACAGAATAACACACACAAACACCAGTTATGATCAGCAAAGATAAATATAGATTATTTACCAAGTGTAGGCATTAGAAAGGACAGAGCTGCAATGCCAGCAATCTTGAGTGGCAATCCTATCTTGATCATATCTTGAATTTCAATGTGCCCGGTTGTGAACCCAACTATATTGGAAGGGGTTGATGTTGGTAGCAAGAAAGAAAATTGTGCTCCAATTGCTCCAGGAACCATGAGGAGTAATGGATGCACATGCATCGTTTCAGCTATTTGGATTAGAAGTGGAATTACGAGGGTTGTGGTAGAATTGTTTGACGTGAATTCGGTAATTATGGCACTTATGAGACACACAATAGGTGCAATGGCCAAATATGGAGCTGCCTCCAAGAAGTCTAAGGCTCTTGATAGCACATCAGCAAGTCCACTAGATCTAACTCCATCAGCTATGGCAAAACCGGCCCCTAGAAGTAATATGATGTTCCATGGTAGCTTCTTGCATTTGTTCCAATCCATCAATTTTTCCCCCTCTTGCTTCTTGTTTGGAATTATGAACAACAAGGTTGCCATCAAAACCTACAGAATTAATATTTAACCATGCTTAACTTAATCACACAGAATCTTAACTAAATTAATGTTCTAAATGACAGAGTGCTCACACTGGCAGTTCCATCACCAGCACGCCCATGGAAAAGTGCTCCCCAACCAGGAGTATCATCTGTTATTCTTCTTGTCATCCACAATGCTATTAGCATCTGCATCAATAATTTATTATCAATTTGAAGATAATTCCAACAATGTTATCATCACTTAATTGAGAAATTACAGTACTTAAGGGCGCACCCCAAACACAGCTAATATCATCTTCTCAGCAAAAGCCATGGGACCTGTCCACATCATACTATCAAGTCAATACTCGACTTTGAAAGGCCTAGTAGATAGTCCAGTAATTGGATTTCTAATCAATTCTGCCTCATAAATCAAAGTGAAGGCTCTTACCTAGTATTTCAAGCTCCCTTTTGAGTTGGGTTCTGTCCAAATACTCAGAAAGAGCTTCCCCTGAGCCCTTTGAACAGTACAACAAACATAATATAACCCACAAAACAAAGAAAAGAACTAAAGCCAAAGGGAACCCAAAAAAGAACCATGTACTGAAGCTAATTGGTGTTGCTTCAGGAAAATAGCTCTTCCACATACCAACCAATATCAGATTGACACCAGTACCAGTCAGTGTACTCATCCCTCCTATAGCTGCTGAGTATGTCACTCCAAGAACCACAGCTTTGCAGAACTTCCTCATAACATTAGATTGAATAGGACCACTTGGCAAATTCTGTAAGATCCCAGTGGCCACTGGCATCATCATCACGGCTGCTGCCACGTTGTGCATCCACATGCTCACAAACGCCGTGGTGCCACATATTCCGAGAAGCAGCAATGGTGGGTTCAGTGGCTCTCCACAG